ACAAGGGTTAGGTTTAACCAATTGTTTCCCCAAAATCTAAAATACTGAATAGAAGGCGTAAACAAATCAAGGTTTTGTTTACCTTAAAGGTGTACCTTTTTTTTTTTTTTGACTTAGGTTATCAGCAATGAACTAATTTAGGAATTCGGACCTCAGAGAGATGCTTACAGCATAGGTGCGTTTGACAAGTATCGAACTCTCAGCAACCATTTTGGATGGGGGGTCGTCTTTTTCTCTATGGCACCCTGCGAAAAATAGCGTGGGTCTTCTGAGACCAGTGTGTAATGTGTCAGCACAGCCTGGCCATTAGCTCCAGATTTCACCTGAAGGGCCCTCAGAGTGCTACTGAGGACCGGGTCCAGGGCCAGCGCTGCACACAACTTTGCTGTCGGATTCCGGCCTTTCCTTTCCAGTTAGCGTGTCTTCACGTTTACAGAGGGGTGACCACGGCCCCGCGGCCCGATCTACGGAGCCGCATTCAGGTCCTCACAGGACAAAGCTCTCCGCTCCACTCCGGCGCAACACCAACTTCAGAAACAAAACAGGAGGTGCAAAACTGGTTTCAGGTGGCAACGGCCTAATCCTGTGGCCAACTTTTGGGGACGCAAAGGCTCGCAGAACTTCAAACCCCACTCGGAGCCAAACCCGAACAGCCCCCGGGCTAGGCCCTGCTCCGCCGCCAGCCCCTCCCTCAGCTCGGCCCAGGCCCCTTCAGAGGACGAGCGTACAGGGAAATGGGGTGCGGAGAAATGGGATGCAGGGGAAGGAGTGCAGGTGAAGTGATGCGGGGAGGGAAAGGGGGTACAGGAAGAATAACGGTGCGGGGAGGGAAAGTTGGTTCGGGGGATGGGGGCTTGTTGCAAAAGAGAAAGAGGGTGCGGGGAACGGGAGTGCGAGAGAAAGGGGTGCGGGTAAGGAAAGGGATGCGGGAAAAAGGATGGGATGGGAGGAAATGTGCAAAAAGAAAGCGGGTACAGGTGCCGGCGCAGCGAGAGGAAGGGGTCAGGGAACGAGGGGGTGCGAGGTCTTGGGGAGGGGACGCCGCGGTCTCAGTGACAGCGGTGACACAGCGGCCGGCAGACACAGGAGACGCGGGTTGGGCCAAACCAGGCCGAGAGCCGAGGCCGGGCCGCCGCCGCACCCCCGCAAGCAGCCCTGACAGGCCCACCCCCACTCAACCCCTCCAGCCGCTCACCAGGCTCCTACCGTGGGCGGGGACGCGCACTCACCGGCAGGCAACGGAGGGCAGCCGCTGTCCCGCAGCGCCGTCGCATGAGCTCGGGGCCCAGCTCCTGCGCCGGCCGCCGCACCGAGTCCATCCCCGTGCCCTCCCGGCCCTGCCCCCGCCGCCTCAGCCCCCGCCGCCTCGGCCCCGCGCGAGGAGCGGGAGCGAGACCGCGCGCGCCCCCGCCGCCTACAGCCTCCACCCCCGCCGACGGCGCATGCGCGAGGCGGTGCGTCGTTGCGCAACACGCCGCCAGGGGTGGGGATAGGCCACGGCCGTTGGTCCCGCCCACCCGCGCAAGCGCCGAGCGGATAGCAGGAGGACTAGGACGGTTATACCCGGACCGCCGAGTGGAGAGCAACGCGCTGCAGGGAATCACGGCTGAGGCTGCACTTGCGCGCCAGTTGTGGGCGAGGAGGCCGACCGTGACGCCTTTGTGTCGCTTCTGGAGTCTTTGTCTTCGCTCTAAGGGGTACCGGTGGCAGCCTCCTGTGGTTTGAGAGGTGAGGGGCAAGGGAGCCTTCCAAGTGTGACCGAGTTAAATTTGTAATTTCTGATTGCTCCTCCGGGAGGCGCACGGTGCCGGGCAAGCTTTGAGGGGGATTAGTGGAGGATGGAGGGGCTGCCATTCTAGAGGCTGTCTGGAGAAGGCAGCCTGTAGGCTTGCGACCTCACCTAAGGCAAGGGTGAGGTCGCAAGCGCAGGAAGTCCGAAGCAGGTGAAGTAAGGGTTTCCCGACCCGTCAAAGGGTCTTTGGTGAAGTTACTGGAGATTACTCAGCAGTGTAAAGAGGGACGGGGTTTCACCGTAGAGGCAGGTCCTGGCTGAGTGACTAAACGATGCAGAAGGGTGGAGATAGGGGATGAAGGACCAGGGCTTGGTGAGTTGGTGGGGCTGGAGAAGGAGCTGGTGGCAGGGCTGGCTCAGGTGGGAGGTGGTGGGAAGTGCATTTATAGGTCCAGGAGAATCGGAGACCCCACAGAAAAGGGACTCAGGGTAGATGATAAACATAAACATAAAAGATAAAACAACACCTTTAGAAGAAAAAGCCTTTGTGATCTTGGGCAAAGATCTCTCGGGACACAAGCATGAACCATGAATGAAATTATTTGTAAACTGAGCTTTATCAAAATTAAAAACTGGACCAGCGAGATAGCCTAGTGAACCAAGCGCCTGCTTAGGCAAGTGCTCAAGAACCAGGGTTCAATCCCCCTGACCATATGCTGCGTCGGGCCCATCCTGAGGGCGCTAAACCATTTGCAGAGTCTGGGCGTGGTGGTGTACGCCTGTAATCCCAGCGCTAGAGAAGCTGAAAACAGGAGGATCACTATGAGTCTGAACTGCATAGTGAGACCCTGTACAAAATACATAATTTTTTTTAAATTAAAAACTGCTAGTCTTTGAAAGACACTATGAAGAAAATTGCAGATGGCAAGAAGAGTTTGCAATAGAAAATAGTTGTTGGAGGCCACCTTGGTCTACATAGTGAGTTCAAGGCCAGCCTGGACTATATAGCAAGACTCAGTCTTTAAAAAAAAAAAACAAAACACAAAAAACAGGGCCACGGAGATAGCTCAGTAGAATAAGTGCTTGCCTGGCAAGCACAGGGTCCTGAGTTCAATCCCTGGTACCAAAAAAAAAACAAAACTGTCTATATAAAGAACTTTGGTTTTTGTTTGTTTCTTTTTGCGGGACCAAGAATTGAACTCAGGCCCTATGTGCTTGCCAGTGAAGTGCTTATTCTACTGAGCTGTCTCCCCGGCCCCAGAACTTTGAATCAAACCCTGGCTCTCACACATGTGAAGATAGCAGCTCCACCATGGAGCTTTGCTCCAGTCCTTAAAGAATTCATAACTGAGTAAGACCACTCAATGAAACAGTACGCCAACGGTTTTAGTAAATGCTTCATAAAGTGTGTAAAGGGCCAGTAAGCAAAAAAATGCTCAACCCGCCGGGGAGATGGCTCAGTGGAATAAGCGCTTCCCTGGCAAGCGCAAGGGCCTGAGTTCAATCCTCGGTTCCGCAAAAAATAAAAAAAAATAAAAAGAAATTGCATTGGGGGCTGGTGAGATGGCTCAGTGGTCTAAAGCACCTACTTGGAACAAGCTTGGCAAAACACAGGGACCATGGTTCGATCCCCCAGCACCACATGCCAGCCAGCCCCGCCCCCAGGTGGGCTGAGCTGGCCACACACACACACACACACACACA